GCACATCCGGACTCTTCTTAGGGATGCCCGCTGTGACAGATGATAGGGGGTAGATCAAGAAAGCTGTCAGCATATCCGTACAGGCCTTTGTGAAGAACCAGAAGGACCTGCCAGTCGTCATACAATGTGCCTCCTAGGAAACTGAGCCGTGCTTCCAAGTGCGTGCCCGTCCGCCTACGCTGGTGAAAAGGAGAAGAAGAGAAATTGCGATTTGGAGAAAAGGAGATGAGCTGAGCAGTGTGCTCTAGCACCCCTAACCTATTTGCAGGCCGGCTTCTCTTCCAAGCAGCCACGGCACTGCCAGTACCTGTTGTGCTAAACAGCAGCATTCATCCTGGCTCCAGAAGGTTAACAACATCTTTCTCTCACCAGCTAACTTCAAAGGCAAAAGTGAAAACCCATGACACGTGAGGTTTAGGTTTAAGAAGAGCTGTGCTAACAGCCTGTTTCTGCTGCCTTGTGACCATAGCTTTCTGTTACATCAGCCAAGGTTAAAAAAATTGAACTTTTTCAAGGCAAAGGCATTTTTTTTAAGATGTGAATCAAACTGCGTTTGCGCACAGGCAGAAATGGAATGAAGCAAGGACAATAGAAATAATTTAGTCAAAATTCCACAAACAAAAAGTGTGTCGTGATATCCTAATACAGTTGATTGCATCTACTTTTTAAGATCAGGTTATTCTCAGAGTATGTTACTAATAGCCATCTACTCATCAATACCAGAGCTTTCATTTCTGAACTAAGAATATGCTGTACCAAATGGTGGTGTAGTATTCAGAGTCCTCTAGAAAGATCTAATTATTTAAGGCTCATAATGTAATCTATACTTTGTGCAAGACAGTAAACTTAGAACAGTCATAAATTCTTATAATTTTCAACTTTGGATCTGTGCTTGTAGCTCTGCGAATAAATACAAGACAGTTCTTCAGGAGTATTTGAACTTAGGAGCTGAAGTGCAGTGGGATGAAAGGACTAGAAGTTGACACAGGCACGGTTAAAATCCTGCCCTCTCAGCTTAATTTCAGCATTGCTTTTCCTCATTCTGTCCTTACTTCTCGTTCAGTATTTTTGTTTAGCTCTGTTATGCATTTCTTTTGTAAAGTGATGCTTTTTGTACGAAACAAGAATAGAGATATTTTAGACTTAAAGAACTATTCTTTCTCTTACTGCAAAATTTTGTCCATGAATCTCAAAATAGTCAATGGTGTGGGCTCTGTGGGAATACTTTTATGAATTGAAGTCAAACTTTAACAGAGTTTTTTAATTTAACCATGACTTTTTAAACAGAAGTGTTGCATGTGTGATAAATATGTTAATGCAGCTATTATGTCTGTCAGGAGCTGCCTAATTGTAGTAAGTTTTACAGAAGAAGGAAAAAAGCAACTTTTTTTGCTGTCCAGAGAAGTTTGCCTCCCAAAATGTGAGCTTCCACCTGTTTATTGAGCATTTTTATGCGAAGTTTTTTTTACATAAAGATTTTCACAATGAAAACTTGCCCTAATTTAGATTAGATATCAGGAAAAATTTCTTTACAGAGAGGCTTGTGAAGTACTGGAACAGGCTGCCCAGGGAGGTGGTGGAGTCCCCATCCCTGGAGGTGTTTAAAAACCGTGTGGATTTGGTGTTGAGCAACATGGTTTAGGGACCCTGACAGTGCAGGGTGAATGGTTGGACTTGATGATCTTGAAGGTCTCTTCCAACCAGACGATTCTATGATTCCTCCCAAGGCTTGGAAAAATGGAAGTAAAAAATGTCATATCCATCAGTTAGGGGAAGAGTTGTGGGGAGGAGCAGATACCTGTCTGCATGACACTCGTTTTTCCTTGACTCCTTGAAGATGAAAACAAAGTAGGTCAGAAGGTAATAAATGTTACGATACACTCAAACGCTGCTGGGAGCTCTCAGGAGCAGCAGTGATGTAGCAGAGTGTACATCACAGGCACTGGCAAAATCCTTGTGGCTAATTTTGGGTTACATCAGTGACTTGTAGTCTGATGTTTTATTTTTATCTTGATTGCTCTGCATTGTGTCAGTCATAATGAAAGGGAAAACACTTCTCAATTTTAGAATGCCATTTGAAAACATTTTCACCTGAAAAAAATAAGATTTAGAACTTTACTCTCCAGAACTAAGTGATTACAATGTTTCAAGATGAATTTGAAATCCAAGTGGTAGGAATGTGAAGAATTCCAGGTGTAGCTGTCTAGAAGCAGTGTTTTCTCTGACTTCCTCTCCACAGTGAATGTAACTTTCTCTCACTCCATTGACAACATAGACCTTGTTGAGGTTGCTACTTGTAGTTCATAAAGCGATCAACGAATTTCTGACTTCGTTCTAACCAGAGGTATATTTGTATTTCTGTTTTAATGTCTTAACTCTAAGCCTTCTCATCTAGTCCATAGAAAGCACATATCACCTTCTCAGCTGGCATTTTAGAAGGTGGCTACTGTGTTCGTGTGCCTGCCACATGGTAGGAGCCCCAAGGCTTACTTTTCTGCCACGTGGGTTAGGGAGTGATGCTTGATGAAGAAAGTGCCTGATCGTGGAGATGGCTCTTCGAAAAGTTCCTGCAAATGACAGTTGCTCTCTTACTGTAACAGGCCTCCAGATGGTGTTGTGCAATGTTAGAGATGAGGGTAACTCGGTTGTTTAAATACTTGCTGACTGGATTTGTTGATAGATTTCTTTATTGTCATCTTTACTCATCAGTACACAAATATCTAAGTAAGAAATGATTCTGGTTTACCCAGATAAAACCAACACGTATTCTTGGAAGAGAATTCTGAAGAAATTTCTCACTCATACTTTGCTTCTTGTTAGAAGCCTTGTCTACCGATACGAAAATTGTGGGCTGAATACTTTCAGTTTAAGTCATGAATTCTGTATTAAATTCTAAATCTGAAATACTAGCCTACATGGATAGTCCTTGACAAATATCACTGATGTCAGATACTTTTTTCCAGTATTTTTGAGGTGGTAAGGCATATATTTTCTCCGTGAGATTGTTTGAAGTAGGTTAGCATTAGCTTTCCTACCTTCCTTTGCAACTAATTTTGAAGCATGATTGTGAATCACTGAATCACGGTCAGAATCACTGATAGTGATTGCAGCAGTGACGTTTGCTTTCTCCCTCCTCCTCCTCTGGAGTTCTCGCTGGTCCTGGACATGGCATCAACGTGCATAGTGGCAAGAAGTGGGCAGCCTGAGCTTGTGCATTCCCTGATGAAACTTCTGTTGGCACTTATCTAACGCTAATACTGTCATTTCTGAAAGGGTATCTGTGCCAGAGAAGAAAAAGCGCCGCTTGGCAGGAGGGGTGAACAGTGCTTCATGTAGCATGTTCTGGACACTTGCTGTCAGCCGGGCTGCTTAGGAAAACCTAATTGCCACATTTTTCCTTCTTTCTCCAGGAGCTCGAACTAGCAGGTCGTTTTCACGCGCACTTTGCATGTTTTCTTTTCCCACCCCTTCCCGTTCGTTTCAGATCTGAACGAGTGCGGACTGAAGCCGCGGCCGTGCAAACACCGGTGCATGAATACCTACGGCAGCTACAAGTGCTACTGCCTCAACGGCTACATGCTTATGCCAGATGGGACGTGCTCGAGTACGGCAAGGCTTGTCGCCTGCTTTTTTCAAGCTCCTCAAGATCCCTGCTTGGGTTTCCCTGGGAAATTTGTATGAAATGAAGATGAATCCCAAAGTAAAAGATTACTCTTGCTGGAAATTAGGCGGTTGCACGAGATGAGCTGCTTTTTTTTCTAATGAAATTAGGCTGAATGAAACAAGAGCAAATATTTTTATTTTATTAGTTTTATTACAAGTTTCCCCAGAAGCATTCTTCAGTGCTGTAAATCACTGTTAATTGGCCTTCGAGGACACGTGCTTGCAGTTTTGATTGCAGCAAGACACCTGCAGTTCTGCTGTATTATGTTCTTATGAATGTAAAATCATTAAAGTTGCAGATGTTGGTTGGTTGACTGGTATAAAATTATACTGTCAACTCTCTGGAGATCAGGTTCCTACTTGCTCCCATGAAAGTGGATATTTTGAGTGTCTGGACAGAGAGAAAAGGAGAGAAATGACCTTTAATTAAAGATGCTCCTGTCTTAAAATGGCAGTACTGTCCAGGAGGGTCTATAGCGCACACTGGGCTTTATACTCCTCATAAGGGCTGCATTCCATGTCACAGCTTGCTACCGTTGTGGTTGTTTTCTTTTTTTTTTTTTCTTAGAGATACACTTTGTGGAAAGAAAAAATATACTGCATATGCATTTGCTCTTTAAAGCCTAAATGGATACCTGTTAAATTCAACAGGCATTTTTCCATTTCTGTCGTAATTATACAACGGCTTAATTCTCCAAAGTTTTTAGTAATTTTCTGATACTGATCAGAGTCCTTATGGAAATATGTTCAATTATTTTTACCTAGGTGCCCTTTCTTGCATGATGGCAAACTGTCAGTATGGCTGTGATGTGCTGAAAGGGGAAGTACGCTGCCGCTGTCCTTCTCCAGGGCTGCAGCTGGGGCCCGATGGCAGGACTTGCATAGGTAGGTGATCGAATGTAGATTTATTTTTTTTCTCCAAAATGTTTTTATCCTCACACTGAACGCAGTTCAAGAGAGTTTATTGGATGTATTTAAGATGCATCGTACGTGCGGTTTAAAGACATTGCTAATGAGAATTAGGATAGGTGTGTTGCTCAGGTGCTCTCAAGTGGTCTGTGTCAGAGATCGCCAGTTCCTCCAGTCCTGCCGGTTTCGTTGACTGCTGAAAACCCGCACGCACTGCCTGGCGTCCAAGCCCTCAGCCCTTACTGCTCCTGTGACTGGGTTGTTTTAAACTATTGCTGACAGAGGCTCCAAAATACCTGCCTGCATAAAAAAAGGAGAGGGGAGGTCAGCTCTCCCTCATACCCAGCAAGGTGGTGTTTAGGCTCAAGGAGTAGAGGGATAATTTGTGCAAATCAGTGAGATTATACTGGGACGAGGTGAAGGTCTGTGCATGCTCCCAATATTAATGGGATTGAAGCTACTGTGAAAATTCCGGGTTAAAATAAACTCAGGAATTTAGACTGTATAAAAGTGAAATGTTTTGTTCCCACGTTCATGAACATGGAAAAGGTGCTTATGGTTAATCAGACTGTATTGTGCCACACTCTACTATGGTCTGAAGAGCAGTGTGATGTGTGATTTCATTAGTCATTAACTATATATCCCGAGCGGATATGATGCTCCAGTGATTTTATTATTTATATCCTATGCAGTGCTACAGTTCTGTAACCAGTAGCAACACTTGCACTGGAAGAATCTAACAGAATGTGGCTGCCCTAATCATCCATTTGAGTATCATGGCTGTCCACAGGGTAGGTGGTTCTCCAAGTGGCTGACCCATGCTGACCAAGAATTTGATGGCAAGGGACAGATTCTAGATCTTCTGATGTGAGGAGTGGGCTCAGGTCTAAGTTGGAGGCTTTCGGAAGTGCATAGTTGACATGTCTGTGTATTCAAAAGAACAGTTAGAAACAGGAGGAAAAACTCCACTGCTGTCACACACTGAAGGGATTGAATTGTGTTTAATCACACTGTAGACATTATGGCAGAGATCTTTGGAAGAAACTTGTGCCATGCCAGTGTGAGCTGTGTGATTTTAAGTACAAAATCAAGGAAGTTATACGGGGTACAGATATTTGCTAGAAAAATACTTGCAAGACTCTCCTAGAGTGCATTTTTATATTCAGGTAAACTTCATACTTTGAAATAAAAAAAGTGTACTTTTAATGCTGAAGACTAGCACTTGAACCAGTTATTTGAAGCACTTTCAGTTCTTCAGTGTAGGTTTCAAAAAAACACTTTCTTTCCCAGAAGGCTGAAGAACTGTGTACCCACATTTCAGTTGTGTGTGCATCATTCAGATTGATATCATAACCTATTTTTAAAATTTTCCATGAAAATGTCAGAGTAGCCTGGTACAATATAGAGATATAAAGTAGTCACAGCAAGAGATGTCTGTCCTTCATGGGTTATAACATGATCTGCTCTCCTTTTTCTGGTAAGAAGTGATTGTGACATGCACCCTTTTTGTGGTGTTTCTCTCTCAAGTTTGAGTTCTACTAAAACCAGTAAATGCTTCCAAGAATCGAAGCTATTTGAGGCTGGGACTGTGCCTTTTCCTCACACATGTACAAGCCCCTCACTGTTGGGGAGGTTGTCAGCTCCAGTGAGGGTCTGGATATTGCTGCAGTACAAATGGAAGTGTAGATGATGGTAAAAAAAATTGAAATGTGCATTTGCTGCAGCTCTTGAAATCTTTGTTTGAGGAGAACGTGAAAGACAGCTGGGAATGTAATGCTTATTTTTAGCACAGGTGGAAATTCCTCTAGGCATTATTCTATTCTTAGTTTAACCCATGCTGATGATTCTCTTGTTAAAACGTTCCTTCCAAATAATCAGTATAAAGTCACCAAACAATTTGGCTACAGAGGCAAATCATATAGACTAAATAGCAACAAATTGAAACAGGCTTCAGCAAAGTATTCAGTGAAAATATGGATTACTAATTAATTGATTAATGACTCTGGAATCAATAAATCACTTGGTGTTGCCAGCTTTTTAGATTGGGGTTTTCGTTTAATGGAATTAGCAGTGTACACATTTCCGCTTCAGAAAGTCTGAAATTATTTGAGGACTGAAAATACCTACTTTCATTGTAAAAGAAATTATTTCTAGTTGTTTTGGTTGTGCATAGAAACTTGAAAATATGGCCTTGTAAACTTAAAAACCATACTATTTTAAAATGAATCTTATAGTTGTTTAGAGCTTCAATTGGCAATTTGGTCATACTCACAGCAGGAGAGAAGCAAGACTTGGGAATTCTGCTTCTCTGTTGGACACTGACCATCCCGTGCATTAGGTGCTGTCTGTATCGCAGGCTTTTGGAGCAGCTCCCTGGCGCTGAGCTGAGGCATGCACCGCCATGGCAGACCAGGCTGAGATCAGAATGCAAACCACCCCTTCATGCCCTGGTTTTCGAAGGAAGCAGGCGTGAACCACAGCATAGTGCAGCAGGCAAAGGAAACAGCCTTCCACTGTTTGGGCCTAGGTGCGAATTGACGTGGGTCCATGGACTTGAAAGAAGCCACAGATGCTGGACTGTGTGAGAACTGCAGGAAGCTAATCATAAGCACTTGCATACCATCTTGGAGCTAACGATCGAAAAGTGCTTTTGCCACCAGTAACGAGCATCCACTCACTTCTCATATTAAATACAAGCAGTAGACTGTTACATTTTTCATAGAATCATAGAATCATAGAATGGTTAGGGCTGGAAGGGACCTTCAAAGGTCATCTAGTCCAACCCCCCTGCAACAAACAGGGATATCTCCAACTAGATCAGGTTGCTCAGGGCCTCGTCCAACCTGGCCTTGAATGTCTCCAGGGATGGAGCATCCACCACCTCTCTGGGCAACCTGTTCCAGTGTTCTACAACTCTCATGGAGTTCTACAAACTCTCTTTTTCCGTTATTTTTGTGTCAATTTTCAAAGGCGTATTGGTTAGCAGTTCAGTCCTGTATCTTTAGGATCTAAAACTGCCTAGAAAATACCACTACAGTACAATACAGCACCACTACAGTGCTCTCGTCTTCTAACATACTTCTTGCCTTACGGGAATTTGCAGAAACATGAGTGTGTACGGAGGGAAAGGCAGGACAAGCTACGCTGGGTTTTAAAGAATGTGATGGGCTGTATTCAGTGGCTAATCTTTTTCTTACTGAATTGCTTTTTGAAGTTGTGGTTTAAAGATAAAAACAACAACAAAGAACTCCCAACTAGCTCATAGTAATCAACAGCCTGAAATTTGCAGCCTTGAAATAATATTTTAATTAAGGGTAGAAGGTTGTGGCTTATAAATTAAATAAGAGTAAGGAAGATGTTAGAATTTATAAAACTCTTAATGATGTACTCAAGGCCTAAAAGTTTACTAATAGATTCAAACCAAGAGGCAGATTTATAGAGAGATTCAGGCACGTGGAGAGGTGCCCAGTATTGGCCTCGTTTTCTGTCTGATTCAAGCCTTTACGGCGGCATTGCAGAAGCGCTCCCAACGGAGAGAGGAGAACTGCTGTCAGAGCAGTCTGAGGGGCCAGGAACACGGGAGCTCAGGGCTTGGATCCTTGCTGTCCTCAGCAATTCTTCATGTGGAGTGGGACAGTGCCAGCAGGAGCTACTGGGGGAGCCCATCTAGCCAGTAATTCATGGCTTTAGGTCACTTCTTTTGGCTGTGGGAAACACAGCTTGGAGAATTTGAAGCTACATCTCCCCTGCCTCAGGTACCTGCCCTAATGAACCAGCAGTTTTGTGGTGACATTTTTCCTGTGCTGTGCAGGAGACTCAGGCTTCTCTCTGCCTCCTTCAGGCCTCTTTCACAAGCAGCAGGGCATCAATCACTTGGCTTTGTTTTGCACTCTTGACACCTGCAGCTGAAGTGCTCCTTTTGGGAAAAGAATTGCTTGGAGAGCAAACTCTTGCTTTGCTGATAGAGCTGCAGAGCAAAGGCTCCAGCCGTGCTCTGTAGATAACCAACACACGTCAGAGGCAGCCGTGCATGGCAGAGCTCTACCTCAGTGAAGAATTAGGGTTTGAGCACCCAGCAGCCTTCAGCTCGGTTTCCAAGGGCTACAAAGTGAGTGGTAGCACAAGCAGCTTTTCTGTTTCAGCCTGACCTCATCTGAGTTTTCCAGACAGTGAAAGCAGCTCTGGGTGAATGTTGGCTGCTCCCTGGGCCTCTGCCTGGCATATTAGTCAGCATGAAGAACAGCAGCTTCTGGGAGCTGAGGACCATCAGACGTTGACTGAGCCATCAGACGTTGACTGAGGACCATCAGACGTCACCCTTGTCTTCCCAGTCTTCTAACCTTGCCTGGATGTCGCTAGCTGAAGCACTGCTTCAGGTCCTGCTGGGTGTCCTTGGCAGGGAAAACGGGAGCCATATATATCTCAGCACCTCAGAGATACTTTAAGGTCGCTTAGGTAACCACCCTCTCCATGAAAGAGGGGTCAGCAACAGCACAGGTGCTGCAGGGCAAGAGCTTGTGAAGGGCAGGTACTCAAAAAGCATTTGACCTGTGGTAACTAACTGGTAGGAGACCCAGAAATACTGCACCCCTGGCGTTAGCTTGAACTCTCTTTGCTTAGAGAAAGTCCTGAGCAGATGAAGGTTTCCAGAGGGGCTTAATGGGCCGGCCATGGATTAGGGACACCTGAGATTTTAAAAGAACCAAACCACTTCCTACTGCAGGGTGATGTACTTTGAATATGCACGTATGACCTGTGCTACAGGAACAGTATTTCAAGAATGTTTCAGAGAAAGAGTTACTGGGATGGTTTTTATCTGTAAATCCAGGTGCTGTCTTTATAACTGGGCAGGGCTTAGTGGGAGAAAAGAAAGTTATGCAAATAACACAAATAGCTTTTCTTCAGACAGAGACTATTACAGTTTTAAGGATGAGTGTTTTGAGGCCTTGAAGAAGCTGTCGTGCGTTCTGTGGGGAATTAGAGAATGTCTTCCCTCCAAGGGGAAGGGTACCAGAATGGCAAGAGCATAGAGCAAGCACTGCAAATTCAGTAGCGATGCTCATTATGCCGGTGTGTCTCTTGTCACTCTCTGTATTTGTAAATCTGGCACAGGAGGCATAAAAATTTGGGCATATGACCAAGAGCTCGACTGAGATGACCCAGCCAGAGGAAGTGCTCAGGTGTTACTGCTGGCTGCTCAGCTTGTAGCCAAAAGGACCTTATCAAAAATACTTTTGACTCTTCTTTAGTTTTTCATTATGTGAAACCAGTTTAATTTAGAAAGTACAGATTGTATTTTAACTGCTATTGAGAATAACACAGTCCTTTTGTTTCCACAGATATTGATGAATGTGCTACTGGGAGAGTTATCTGCCCACGCTTTAGGCACTGCGTCAATACTTTCGGAAGCTACATGTGCAGGTGCCGTAAAGGCTTTGATCTAATGTACATTGGAGGCAAATACCAATGCCATGGTAATAACAACTTATTTCTTATGTGCATGTAATAGAGCTGCATATTCCAAGCTGAAATTAATGCTTTAAAGAGGAATGTTTGCTTGTTGTGGCCGAAACATTGAAGCAGGTTGTTTTAGGTTGCACTGTATCTGTATTTTAGGAAAGGGCGGATTATAGAAATAGAGTGTGAAAAAGAAAGCATATATTTAGCCTCCATTCTTGTAACTGGTTCCCCTGTGGAAACTAGTGGGAAAGCAGAGCTGACGACCCCAGGAATTCCTTTCCAAAGCCTTTGTCCCCACGGGTATCACTGTGCACAGGCAGTTGTAGGTTTGGATTAGCGTATGAGCTTAGGCTATGTCTGAGCTGTAACACCGGTGTGCTCCATAGCATGGCCTAAGATCCAAGATAAGAAAATGTGGTTAGAGCACACCCCAGCTCCTTCCAACCCAGGGTGCCCAGCTTTCCTTCCCCTGAAGACAGGTGGGGAAAAGGCAGGGGTTGGGAAATAGTCTTTGTCTGGACATGAGACTGGAATGCAGCTGGTGTATGCCCTTCAACAAAGGTGTTCCCAGGTCCCACTGTCTTAGTTTTCCAGGGCCTCAACTGGTTATGAACCTTTCACTGAGAAAAGGATCACGTGGAGATAATGAGGCATTGCTTTGTGTTTGTTTAAGTATATTTTTTGTGGAAAAATCTCTATGCAGAGCACTGGAATGCGGTGATTTTTGCTTCCGTCACTAAAAACAAACAGAGGAATGCCATATATTTCAAGCAGTTTCTACTTGATATAGAAACATCTATACAGATGTATGACAGAGGAAGCGTTTTATGAAAAAACAGTTTAACACTTGTTAGACTAAGAATATGCATGTTCTTACACCGTGTTTTTCTTTTCTTATCATGTCACCCTTAAGAAGTGGTTATTAAATTTGTGATCTTCATGATCTCAACTGCGATCTACCCACAGCACATCACTGAAGCTGGTGCTGAGTTATAAGCTGAGCAATATCAGAGCTGCACAGTAGTCCCTTTTACCCTGGTGCTTGTATTACCCCCTTGGTTTGTGACTGTCTACCTTTTCCCACTGGCAATTCAGTTTTATTAAGTTTTTCAAAATTAATAATGTTTTCCTAATGACCATACTACTGTTTGAGTCTGCAGGGATAAGCGGAAAGTCAAGTTTATTTGATGCGAATGATTTTTTTGTGTAACTTTCTGTTGCAGATATAGATGAGTGCTCCCTTGGCCACCATCAGTGTGGTAGTTTTTCACGATGTTACAATACACCAGGATCCTACAAATGCAAGTGTAAAGAAGGGTACAGAGACAATGGAACAAACTGCATACGTATGTAATGCTCCTTTTAAAAAGGAATTCTGACAGGAAATGTGTCCCATGTTGTAAATTTTGAGATAGAGCACTATCAGGCTCAATTTCTCCTCACTATTTTTAATAAGTAATAAGGAGCCAGGGAATGTAGTCAGAGTTTTCTGAGTCTTAGCATGCCTTGGTAAAAATACCTTTCCCTGAGCCATTTTCATAATTAGAAAGAAATTCACCTCTCCCTGTGCACAACTTAATTTTAGAGATTGCTTCAGGATGAGAACAACTGAGTAAGCAAGGATAGGTCTGGTCAAACAGTACATATTACTCATACCCTGTTGTTATGTACACTCTGCAACTGGCCCGTTTCAGCAGCTCACTCCATCCCCTCCCCACTGCTCCCCAGAGGAGCCCAGAGGGAGGATTTCTCTGGAAGAATTCCCTGTTGGAAAATTCCCTTCCTCACCTCTCCCTTGGAAGAAGCAGCCATGCCCCTTGGTACAGAATAGGCCATTGGAGCTCCCCCACATTTGACATCCCTCAGGACCGTGCAGCAATACGACATCTCCTCAATCTCTTTGAGGACCTTGCGTTCATACGTGGGTTCTGGTCTTTGGTGACTGACTGATCTCTTTGAAGAGCAGTACCATCGCGGACTTGTTTCCTTTGGCTGTAGCTGTCATGATGCTGTGATCTGGGTAAGGTGATCTTTCACAACCTGAGCGCTCACAATTATATGTGGACACACTTCACATGTGGTACTGGGACATAGTCCTAAGGTGCATTTTTATATTTTAATGTACCATAATGTAAAAACTGCAGGGTATCCAAAAGAATAGTAATAAACAGGTGGCCAGAGAGAAGAGCTTTTTACCTACTACCATCAAACGATTCATTGTTTAACAAACAGTAGTTCTTTATTTTAACTGTGTGTTATACTTGAAACACTTGTACACAGAATATGTGACTAGAGTTCTTACTGGAGCTTTTAAGATCTCCAGTGAGATATAAAAGGCTAATTAACAAATAGAAAGTTATAAATAACAAAACAGACGTTCCTGCGTTTCATGTCTGCGGAAACTTCACTTGTGAAACCAAGTTAAAATGTGTCCTTTCTTTATGAAATACTGGGGGAGATGGTGCTGTAGGCACTATCACTGTGGTGTAAGTGGTGCTGAGTTCACCTTCTGCTCTTTGTGGAGGCTGAAAAAATGCCATTTACTTAGTGTTTAGCAAAGGTAAAGATCTAAATGAGGGCTATAGGGTTAGGTTCAGTCTCTGCCAAATGATTAACGATTATTGACAAGGAGAAAAGTTTAGAAGTGGAGAGGTCTGAAATAACCAATAACATTGGAGTCTTACTAAACTTGCCTCCACTTCTGAGTACAAACTTGTCCAGTTTGGAGGGCTGCTTAAACACACATCTTCCTGTCCATGTTTTTTTACTCACAGTGCTTTTGGGTAAGTTTTGCCACCTCTGAAAGCGAGTTGATGTGGGAATGGAAGTCTCTTGGTCTTCAGTCATTCTAAATCATCTCTAAACTGCTGTAATGAGAAATCTGTCTATCTAAAGAGATGTGATAATTCAGCAGTGCTGATGCTAAAGTATGTTTCTAATTAGAGGAAACATTCAGAAGATGCAAAATGATTTCAGCAAAGATTCTCCATGTCATAATGAAATACATGGTTAAGTTTTGGGAGCAAGAGACTTAGATATCCATTATGGTCCCGTTTCGATTCTCTTTGCAATTATTCCTAATGTTTTGATGGAACCACCTGGTCCATATCATGTATTCAAGGGCAACAGCATGCTCCCTAAGCGAGGCAGTGATAAAACCAACAGGATTCCTGATGTTGGAGGCAAAAGACAACCCCTCAGACCACCATATGTACCTGCTATTATTACAGAGAAGCCGGTGACCTGGCCAACGGCTCGTCCTATGCCCGGGCCAACGGCTCATCCTCCACCCAGGCCAACGGCTCGTCCTACACCTGGGCCAACAACTCATCCTACACCCAGGCCAACAACTCGTCCTACACCCAGGCCAACAACTCGTCCTACACCCAGGCTAACCACTAGGTATGTGCCGGTGACAACAAGGCCAGTGACGAGGCCTCCACCTCCAACACCACCTCAACCGACAACGTTGAGACCTACACTACCACCACAAAGAACTCCTCTGATAACAACTGAAGAGCCTTCACCTGTTCACACTGAAACTACATCGTCTCAAGGAATTATAGATGACAACAGGATCCACAGGGATCCTCAGAAACCCCGAGGAGATGTGTTCAGTAAGTAATTTTACATATCCTTTCATTTATCAGAATTGTAGATGCAGTGAGGTGAAGCATGCACTGTACTCTTCGATTTTGGGTTTTTTGGAACATTTTATCAGTGAGAACAAAGACATGAAGGTGAAAGTGTTCATATGGTAAAGCTGAGCAAATAATTGATTTTATGACCTAACAAAAATGTGAGGAGGAAGTTCTGGATTAATTCAACCAAAAATTTCATGTTTTCTTCCTGAAATTACTTGTGAGTATATCGTCCTGTATAAGTGCTTAACCTAATTATGCTTTCGCACAAAAGTTTGGGAGAACACAAGACGTTTTATTGAAAAACATTGAAATACAACTCAACTCCTAAATAATTAATGGCTTCAATTTCAGGGAGTTGAGAGTCACTCTTAGACAGCATATTTCCTTAGCTTTAAGAAGGGTAAGAAACGAGACCATGTCTGATTACCTGAAGACTCTGTTATGTCACCTTACTGTATGAATTCAAATAGTCTTCAATGTTTATAACTGAGCAATGGCAAAATTACGTAAAAATAACAGAGGCTAATTTTACGGATTGCATCTATGAATATGGATAGATGAAAAGCTGAAGGTAGTAAAGATTCTCATAGCATGAACACATGTCATTTTAAGAGCTGCTCTGAAAGCTACAGCACATTTCTACACCAGCTTTAGTGCATGTCACAGAAGACATCACTGGCACATGCAGAGTTAGACGCATCTGCCAAGAAGTACTCAACGCCCGATTTCATCTTTAGTTCTGCCGCTAATTTTGGAGACGGAGAGGGTGTGCTGGAGCAGCCTTCCTCCTTCAGCTTCATGTACGATAAAGCTACTCAAGCAATGTAGTAGGAGGAAAAGTTTGCTGTCTCAAAGCAGGTGTACAGGCAGTGTGGGAGTTTTTTTCCGGTTGCTTTGGCATCTGTGGGGTAACTTCTTGAGCTGTGTTCTCTTAGGTCATTACACAGTGAAATATTTTGTTCCTTGTAAAAACTAGTTTGTTTTCCCTGTTGACATTTTATCTGTTGTAGATAGTTTGATAAATTTAAAATGGAGACAAAAGCTGACTTAGAATTTGGGAAGATAAATCCTGGTACTACTTGAAGGAGCGCGCTTTTGGATTTTTCAAGGTTATTTTTAAACAATCTATATTCAGTTAAAAATATAAAAACATTTTAATGTAAAATTCTAAAAGTAAAGACTCCTCAAACTTAATACAATGGGTACCAATAGTTAGAAATACATAGTTCTGAGGAAGTTATTCTAGACTCTAGCATGTGCTTCCCAGGTGTTTTCGTGTTGCAAGTGTTCTCTGGAATTCTTAAGCAGAGGGGAATTTTCAACTATTTTCATGAACTTGTAACAATCATCTGTATAGCACTTATTATGGACAATTAGTCTTTCTGTATTCTCCCGAGAGGCTGGATTTTGAAGCTAATGCTTTCAGTCCCTACGCTCCAGATACAGGGCTTTGGAAAGTAGGAAAGTAAAAGCGTTTTGAGTTTGTTTTTTGACTGTAAGCTTACATTATGGTGCATATAACAAACACAGGACAGAATGATCTTTGCAGAGTGTTTATCAACTATTTATTTAGGTCAGCTGCCACCCTTGATAGTTTGTGATGTACATACATAGCGTCAGAGGCTTCAGTGCACAATACAGCAGGATTCCGATGAGTCAAGCACCAGCAACTGTTACTGGCCTCAGCAGGTGATACACGGACAGAGAGCTCCTCAGATCAAGTCAATAGATGTGTGTCTTTAATCCCATATTATTTCTTCTATCCCCTGCTAAAGATATATTTGATACACATACGTTTGTGACATAACCGTGTGACTGAAGGCATAATCTGTGCTCTAGATGGTAGGAATTTGCATGGTGCTAGTAGTGCGATCCTTAACGAAGCTGGTGTCTTTTGTCCTCTCTCTTGCTTTCCTTTCCACTCTCCTTTCTGCTCTTTTTTTGTCTTTTCTGGCCACTTTCAAAGTGTCATCTAGGTAGTGGTCACCAGTGTCCCCTCCCACCTTCTCTCTGTCCAGAGGCATTTATGTAGTGAGTGTGCAAAAGCATTTGTTCAGGATTTGAAACCTAGAGTCGGGTGCAAAGCAGTTCTGTTCCAGAAGAATGTGCTACCTTGTCAAGGAAAGCGTTGCTTGTAGAGTAAGGTGTTACTTCACCTATTGAATCCTGTTACTGTAGGAGTGTGTGGGGAAGGGAAGAAGTTACATTTCCTTGTGTGGGACATCTAGAAAAGCTGGTAGAAAAGCTATAGCCACAGACATTACTACAGTGGGATGTGCAGGGCATGGCTCAGCGGGTCCTTGCCTGCTCTGACACTTCTAAGGATAACACAGAGACACTCATACATCCCCGGATGTCGTCACAGCAGGAGTTCGGCAACACGGTAGCGGTGCTGAGTTCCCGGGCATTAGCCGGGCCGCAGCCCTGGCTGCGGGCGTGCTCGTGGCCAGTGGCAAGCGTGAGGTGAAGTGCTTCAGCTCACATGCCTTCCACGTTAGCTTACTGGTGGCGTTTGCTGGGTGAGTTAAGCGTCGGCTTCGTGCTGGTGTGCTCCTGGCCGGCCCTGGCCCGGCTCCTGGCCGGCGGGAGAGCGGTGCCTGGCTCTCGCCGGGCTGCAGCTGCTCCGTGTGAGGCACCACAAGCTCAGGGCAACAGCAAGTGTAAACCAGGGCCTCTGGAAAGGCATTCCTCACCGCCAAACACAACCTTAACCACCACCGTGTTAAGACCATACAGGATTTTAAACTGAAATAACTATAACATTTAGGTAAGCACTGACGTGCCGCTTGTCTGCCACATGGATGTGCCAAACCCTCCCCATCTCCAGAAACGTTTGGGGATTTTTCACATGCCTCTGTATATCCTCAGGAAAGGGGCTTTTTCAGCTACTTCCTTCAGCTTCTTTACAATTGTTGCTGTTTTAATCTCACCTACATCAGACATCTTCGCAGTGTTCCTGGGTTGTGGATATGAGCTAATTTAGTTTGGCTTATACTGAGCCTCTTTATGTTCTTTTCCCCACATCATCTGTTTCTCCAGTTGAGGCAGCAAGAAGCTAGTTCTCAAAAACGAATTTGCACTATGGTCCCCATATGCCTGCCTGAAAAGAGAAGAGAAAGCCTTGCTCTTGCTGTCTTTGTTTCCCACGGGAGAATGCAGGCAGCAACTCAGTCATCTGATAACACTCATTGTCTTGGAAAACAGAGGAAAGAAATTTATGTTAGATGCACTCAGGTCACAAAGTAGAACTTAACTTCGGTTTTGTAAAGTCTTCAGAAGAGTTGTGGTGTTGTCTTAGATGGCTGCTTCTTCATGTGTCACCAAGGGCTGTTGTATCCCAAGAGTCGCAAAAGGTAGTGCTTTATCACACAAGGATGGGCATAACCCAGCACGGAGAGCACGGTAGCCAGCAGCCGCTGGCAATGCTCATCTTCCAGCCCTTAGCATCTGCTGAAGACCTCAGTATTTAAAGTTGTGTTTTTAAACTAGGTAATCTTGTGATGCACGGACTTCTTCCTTCCTTCTTTCCCCCTTCAGGCTCTGAAGCCTAAGCCAGACTCTGACAAAGCAGCATGACAGTAAATGCTGCTTTGCTGAGCCACCTGAGTAGGTGGTACTGCTGTTGGGCAGTCCGTGGCAAAGGGGTAGTCGGCGTGCTGTACGCTGATAGATGTCCTGGTGCACTAGCCCTGATCCTGCAAACATACTGGTGGCCTAGAATTGGTCCGCATCAGGAGAGGAAAAATACCTGGGCAAGTGTACTTGTTTTCTGCAAGCATCTCTCAAATCTTAATTTTTCATTGTTTAACCTTTTCCTGAGCTTACCCTTGGTGACTCATTGCTCCCTGTTTTCTCTGTTCGTTGTTACCTGACCTGCTGTCCCACACGCTGAGTAAACTTGTCCTAAGCTTTCACCTCAGAGCAGCACTCTTGAATGTGCTGCTCAGCTCGAAATCAGCTGAGGACCCGGGAAATTGGTCTGTGCAGTGGTGACAAAGTGGTGACAAATGACAATAATGCCGATAATTTTATTTAAATGCCTTTGCAATTTTTGAAAGGTATTGGTTTGTTGCATTTCTTTAGATGCTTCACCCCTTTTTAAAACTGGCTGCAATGACTTTGGGGAGCTGCTTTTTCAGAGAACAGAAAAATGAGTATTTTTTAAAATGGAATTCCTACGCTTGGCCTTTGAACCACTTAGTCAGATGCAGACAGTGGAATCTGGCACCAAGGATAATCTTCTCCTGATATGGATATGGGGGGGAATGGCAATGAGGGAGGAATGCAGCGATGGCTTAATATTTAACTATTTCAGCACTGGTACAAACTACGGTGAAGTACAGAGGAATCTTTTCTGGTTACTCAGATGGATAAAGTCTCAAACAAATAGAAAGTACTTCTCAATAAGACTATGGATTTCTGCTGCCATCAGGATCTGGGTGATAAGCATTAAAAGCATAAGCTTAAAGACAAAGCATAATAGTAGGTGTCAACAGAGCAAGAACTAAACGCCTTATCTGTATTAAAAGAAAGTTCAGCAATTTTCCTTCTTAGCCCTTAGTGAAACTGAAAAGATTGGAATTAGGAGATTTTTCTCATAACAGCTATTAAAAAAAATTAAAGATTGGATTAAAACTTGATTTGTTTTCCTCCCCCTTTCAATGACTGAAAAGTGCAGTAAACGCAGTTATGTGATCCTTGGAGCTATTGAAAGAAGGGAAATGCTAAAAGCAAAGAATCTGCTTTTTTTTATTCCTTGATATCATTAGAGTAGCATCATTTTACAATTGCATTTCATTTGTCTTCACTGTCCTGGCACCTATTAAAATTTATTTGTCTTAATATTTAAACATTTAAGATAGGCACTTTGTTCCTGTTGGTACTCTGGAGCTAAATAAATCATAACAATCATTACAAGTCACACCCTCCATCGATCTTCCAGCTAGTTTTATCCCCAGATCTGATACACAAGC